TTTCGAGCTGTTATTAAATAGCGCTGGTCATCCTGCAGGCAGCAAAGTCGGTTCCAGCGGTGAGGTGGAACTGGTAGCATTCAGCGATGCTGGTGCATCACAGCGTGTTAGAGACTAAATGAAACTGTCAATGCAGCGGCTGTCTCCAAGCTGTAAGCTAACTAGTATTCAATATAAGCACCCCTGGCCCCTTTCTTCCCCCTTCACATTGAAATGCAGGAGGCATCATGAACGGGGTCTTTTGCTTTTGCTTTTGAAGTGAAGGGTTGTTGTCAGTGTGGAATGCAGGCTCGCTAAGGATGTCAGATCCATATGCTTGGGAGAGTCGATAAAGAAACGTTGCAGTTGCCCTCTTCTCTCAAGAATATTGGAAATCTTCACTGCCTTCTGAAAATCACGCTTATGTTACTGCTCTGTGTTTGTGTGAGGGTGTGCATTCTTTCTTTACCTGGGTCAAAGAGGTTTTTCTTCAGCTGCAGTGGCTACCGCAGAGTAACCAGAGCACTCTTTGAGTAACTTAGAGCATATAACCCACTCTTGACAGCCATTAGTCCACAATATTTTCTGGAAGAGATATTTTACCTTCAGCGCCTTGGTTGATTTTTACCTTAACCTGAACTGAAATGTAGAATTTCTTTTAGAGTTCAGTTGGCTAACGGGGGATCTTTTAATTAATTGTCTTGACTCCATCAATGGCTGAAAATGTTAAAAGGAGAAGGGTAAAGAAGTCTTTTAATCATTAATTGACATGCAGAGAAAAGGGCATACCAAAAAGTACAAAGTCTCTGTGAAATTATGCTTTATCACTGTTGTTCCAGTCGAATCTAAACTTGCTGAACTGAAGATTGGTTTACCGTGACCTCCTGGACTTCCTGTGATTGTGCTTTTTGCTCAATACTACTTCTGCTTTTTGTCCCAAAGAAAAGTGTTTACTACCGATCTTCTGCTCTTTAAATTCTTTGATACAGTTTACCATTTGCATTCTACCTGTGCATGTGCCACGTATAACAGAAAAACTGCTTACAAAGTGATCAACTCGAAGTAAGATTTGCTTAATTGTGTGCAAATTAGTTTTGTTGATCGACTATTTGCTTCCTGTCCTTCTCTGTTTGGGAGACAGGAGCGGTTCCTCAGAGATTCAAAACTGGGTAGTATCTTCTTAAATAGAAATGAAAGTATCCAGGAAATAAATATTTTGAAGAGTCTGTGTGTTGGTTATTGTGACATAACCAATGTTATGTGTGAAGAGTAAGTAAGAGGTGTCATTGGACAGATGATGGCAGAGCACATGCCACACCTCTGCAGATTGTCCTGGTTGCAGTAGCAAGACCCAGTTCTGTGGTTGGCCATTTGTACAGAGACATAGCTTCCTTTTATCTTTCTTTGCTTTCTCTTTTGTTTCTCTTACCTATTGGCAAATTCCTAATTTGAGATTTATTTGATATTGTTAGGTGCTGCTTTCAGTTTCTGATTGGTAGTAATTTTGGTATTTGCATAACTTTAGTTGAGAGTCAACTATTCACTGCTGATAGTTGTTCATATTTCGAAAGTGATGCCTGTCCCTTAGTGTGGGAATGTCTGAAATAGAGCCATTCTTAATGCATTACTCCGAAATCTTTTTCTGAAATATTTGGTGCTGTTGAGAACAGAAGTGTAATATGGCCTCAAATCACGTAACTTGAGGTTCTTTGGAATTGCCTTGCTATTTTTTGACCAAGGCAATATTCAGACATAACTGGAAGATGATTAACAACTGTTTGCCATTCATTTTATTAAATTTGGTGTTAATAAAAATTTGAAATAAGCGTAAATGTACTTTCTGTAGGCATGCCAATAGCTCTATTAGATGTTATGCATATGTTGATATAATAAATCAGGTACCTGATTGCATTTAACCTTGCTGAGAAGACTGTAGCTTTTAAATGGAATAGCAATTTTTTTTTGTGCCAGCATGCCTTAGTAAGTAGTGTTTTGTGTTTAGAAATTAGACTATGTAGAATAATAAAACACTCAAGAAAAATCAACATCTCTGCTTATGTTTAGGTTATCTGATAATCTGCATATGTGTGTATTTAGGAGGGCATATTGGTTTACTGAAACTCTTAACCTTTGTCTGAGACAAATCATATTTGAATTGTTTGCTGTTCCTCCAGTGCCTCGCATTCCATGATATTTCACCTCAAGCTCCAACACATTTCCTAGTGATTCCTAAGAAGCCAATTGTCAGATTGTCTGAAGCAGAAGACTCTGATGAATCTGTAAGTACTCTAGAAGCTTTCTCTACACCAAGTCGTGCCTCTAATTACTTCACAATGTAGTAGGCTCTCCCCCTTTTCCTCTTGACATATCAAACAGAGTAGTTTTCTGATACAATAATCCTTGTTCTCTAACTTAGAATGATAATGGAGTTAAAGTTTTCCAGTAAAATTAGTCATAGAAAGAAAAAAGATTTCTCTGTGTGTATTTGCCATGCAAAATGAATTGGTATTTATTATGTTATACTCTTGATGTCTGTTTTCATGGTTTACAGGCAGTAGTACTTTAAGGTTTTTAGCAGGTCAGAGGTGAAGAAAAGGAAAGTTAGCTGAGAGGTGCTGAATATTTCATTTGTAACTATAAACATCAAGCTTAAAGATTTTGCAAAGCTTTACATGGTAAGATAAAGTTTCTTTTCCACCAGAATTTTATATGTTGTCTGAAGCAGTAATGGGGACTTTAACCATAATTTGGCTTCTGTGACACTTTTGTAGTCTGTTACAGCCTGGCTTGAAAAAAATTTGTAGCTTTATTTCCCCCCTATATTTTGCATAGTAAGTCTTTATAGTTTTTCTTGGAAAATGTCAGTTGCAGTCAGACAACAGTTTGAAGAGCAGTGGCTGAATTTCTGAGAATTATTGATTCTCTGCTCTTATTCCTTCCCTCCCTGCCCTTTTCCCCTTTTTATGTGTTTTCTGGTTGTTGTTTTTTTTTTTTTCCCCTTTTTTTTTTTTTTTCCTCTTTCCTTCTCTTCCAGCTTCTTGGGCATTTAATGATTGTTGGCAAGAAGTGTGCTGCTAACCTGGGCCTGACGAATGGATTCCGGATGGTTGTGAATGAAGGGCCTGAGGGTGGGCAGTCTGTCTATCACGTACACCTCCATGTTCTGGGCGGCCGTCAGCTGGGCTGGCCTCCTGGCTAAGATTTTTACACCACAAGAGCTAACTGCATGCATACAAGTTACCACCGAGCAGATTTAATGTGTTATACATCAGTCTAGCCACTGTTAGTGTATTGTTTTTTTTTTTTTTTAATGTGTGTCTACAGAGGGTGTTAAATGCTCTGAGCAACATTCGCACAATAAAATTTAAGCATGTGGGAATCGTCTCTGTCTGGTGTGCCTTACTTACAGGAAGAGTTCTGCAAGCTGAAAGGATGTTCTCTGGCATTTAAGGTTTTGATCTGCTAACAAACCTTCTGTAGACAGTGATTTGCTGTGGCATTTGAAACCTGGAGGTGCAGCTGAACAGCTTAGCAGGCTTTCATGTCTTTTGGGAAGAAAACTTGAAAGCTTTTTGAGTGTGGTATGTCAATATTCATAAAGCCAGTGTAGGATGCCCCTGAAATTTTTTTAAAAAGTGAAATTTGAACATCCTGTGCAAGGCTTGTGTCAGTACAGTGCAGTGTGTTGGGAACATACAGCTCCTGTTGGAGCTCTCTCTCAGTGGCATTGTAAGGCTCCATTTTTCCAATGAGAAGGGACAAAACAATAGTCTTAATGGCAGCTGTCATAGATCCATAGTGCCTGGGTACCTAACATCGTGATTTGGATCAAATCAAGGGATTGAAAATACTGAACTCCTCTAAGATGCTCAAGGCATTTTATCTTGGCATGTAAGCAGCCAATCTAGAATTTTGAATTCTAGATTTTAACAGATTTTGTCCTTCAGTGAACAGTACTTTCTGTGTTGCTGCATACAGTTAGTTTTTCATGCAACAATGTAATCAGATCTCCAAGGCAATAAATTTTCTTGAAGGTAGGGTTACAGCTGTGTCTGCCAGTGTAACTATGAAGCAACTGTACTTTCTGATAAAATTGAGTCACCAGTAACCAGTTTTTATGACAAAAGATACTTGAAAGCCTCTAGGCAGATGCCTTGAGAAAAACTGGGTTATTTGTGAGCACCAGAGGTGTTAAAGAAATGTGGGAGTGTAGTGTAGAGGGTGGACAGGTAAGGGGTGTGACTTGTGTTTTCTGCTCAGATAACTAACTTGCAAGTTCTGCAAAGCCATTTGAATTCATTCAACTTGTAAGTATTCTGTAAGTACCTCTGGATGTCCTGGCCTTTGAGAATTTTTGCCCCAAGATGTCATTTAAACTGGAAAATCAGGTAGTGCTTCTGAAGGTGGCTGGTCTGTACTTGAATTAAGAATAAAAAGGTGGTTCTGTAGTGGTAGCCTGATGACATAACTCCTGTGTAACCTGCATAGAAGAGAAGAAGAAAACCACCCAATCCCCAGAGGTACAACATCCCTGGGCAAGTAGCTGAGTGTGCATCACAAGAACAAGTGTTGATTCCGTGGCTGGGTGACTACTCCAGTACAGCTGCTCTGTCCTGTGATTTCTAAGGCCACTTAACTAAGGAAGATGCGTTAACTGCATCACAGGGAGGCAGCAAACTTCATCATAGTAAACACTGAGGAGGTGGATATGGGAAAGCAGGATTATCCTACACATCCTTTGACTCTGCATTACTGATGGATCTGAAACACCCAGTGGAAGATGTCTTGATCTCTGCTGTTCTGCAGGTAATCAAATGTACTTAGATGACAAAAACCTGTGAGCAACCCAAGGACTTCACCTCTATTTAATCGTCATGCGCAGAAGGTGGAAACAATTTACATGACCTGAGTACAAGCTAATGTATAATCTGAAATTGAATTGCTGAAGTGTAATGCCACTGTTACATTGCTCCAGATTAGAGACAACATGAGTGTCCGAGAGAGAGACCTAAACTGCACTGTGACATTTAAGTCAGTTTCTAAAATGTCAGATACTGAGTTTGAACACTTCCTAGGTGTGAAATTTTGCATTACTTTAGTTATTGAGCTGCCCAGTCTTGTTGAGCCAAGCTGACCACATGTACCCATACCATTCTTGAAAATCCCATGATGGTAACTGTTGCAGGTTTGGACAAATCATCCTGACTGAGGCTACAGTTGTCTTATTTTCTCCGTTTCGTTTGGTGTTTTCTTGTGTGTTAGAACTCGTTTTTGTGGACCACACTGGATTTCTCTCAAGATCACTGTGTTAATATTTTATCTGACTATGCCTGTATTTGCTGTGGATTTAAATAAAAAGTTCTGTTTTCATCCTTTTTCTTCTCCAGTTATTGGGGGGAAAAACAACCATTGCAACAATTCCTTTTACTCCTTAACAGACAGGAAACGTCTGTGATGAGCTAGGCAGAATTTAATCTTTTTTTTATTGTTATTCCCAGTTACAAATTTCTTTCCTTTTGACAAACTGTAATAGTATACTCTAACCAATTCATAGTTGAGCTTGAAAGAACTAGTGGAAAGTCAAAACCTAGGCTAATGCTGTTGGGGAGAGCTGTTTACTGGTTTTGGCCACTAGGTATGTGCCCTGTGCCTATCATAAAGGATTTGAAAAGGAAATGTGGGTTTCATTGGACTATGATGTGCCTACACACCATACCTGGAGTAGTTACAATGCTGCCAGATGGGGGAAAAAAAGTGTAAAATGTGGAGTCTTTTGTGTAGAAGTTGAAGAGAGAGAGGTGATTTAAGGAGGGGCCACTGCTTTGGGTTAGGATCATGACTCTTTGGCAATGGGAAACTTGGGAAATGTCTGGGGATCCAGCCCCTTGAGCTTCAAGAGAGCAGCATTTTCTGAGAAACATAAGGGTTTTCAGAGAAACAGCATCTAGAGATTCCAGAAGAAAGATACGACCTCTTCTCAACTCATGGTAAAAGAAGACCAGCAATCCTGCATGCAAATGGTAAAAAATGTAAGTATTAGCTGATAGGATGTTGGAAAGCCAGAAATACCTATAAAGACAGTTGGACTGAATGGTCTTAGAGGTCTTTTCCAGCCTTAATGATTATGATTCTGAGATGTGACTGAGTAGATGTGAGCGTGGTTAACTTGGTGTTGCTAAACTTGCTCAAAACACAGCCTTACTGGAGACAGCACTTTGAGGATGTGAAGGGTAAAGGGACAAAAACTGAGGCTGGAGCTGTAGTTTCTGACCCCTTTTTCAGGAAGGATTTGTAATGTTGGCTTGGCTGAAGGTCAAGGACCAGTCAACCTTTTATAACTGAGACTTTAGTAGCAGAGAAGACTCACAGTTGAGAATAACTAACTATACTCCAATCAGGTAGTTTTATTTTGTTGTTGTGGTAGCTGTGCTTCAATCAAGTTTTCATAGAATGTAATCACAGAATCATAGAATATGCTGAGCTGGAAGGATCCCATCAAGATCATTGAGTCCAACTCCTGGCCCTGCACAGAATACTCCAAGAATCACACCATGTCCTTGAGAGTGTTGTTCAAACACTTGAACTCTGTCTGGCTTGGTGCTGTGACCACTGCCCTTGGGAGCCTGTTCAGTGCCCAACCATCCTCTGGGTGAAAAACCTAAACCTCCCCTGACTCAGCTTCTTTCTGTTTCCTCAAGTCCTGTCACTGGTCACAAGAGTGAAGAGATCAGTGCCTGCCCCTCTACTTCCCCTCTCAAGGAAGTTGTAACTGCAATGAGCTCTCCCCTCAGTCTCCTCCAGCCTGAACAAGCTGCTCCTCACACAGCTTCCCCTCCAGACTCTTCACCCTCTTAGTTACCCTCCTTTGGGCACTTTCTAACAGCTTAATACCTTTCTTATATTGCAGTGCCCCAAACTGCACACAATATTGGAGGTGAGGCTGCCCCAGGTCAGAGCAGAGCTGGACAATCCCCTCCCTCAGCTGGCTGGTGATGCTTTGCCTGATGCCCCCAGGACAGGGTTGACCCTCCTGGCTGCCAGGGCACTGCTGGCTCAGATTCAACTTGCCACCTACCAGCACCCCCAGGTCCTTTTCTGCAGTGCTGCACAGGGATAAAAACCAGTTTTCCCACTCAGCAATGGTAAATGACCTTGTAAGAGACTGAAGTTTTATCACCATAGTAAGATCTAAACTACAGCGTGTGGCATGAGTGGAGTAACAATTCCAGAGGCTTAATTTGAGGAAGGAAATGTCTATGGGGAAAAGGAAAAGGAGAGGTGAGTAAAATTGCTTTCTTACGATTGTATATTTCCAGTGTTGTTCTATCTGGGTCTTTTTCTGAGTGCTTGGGTGTAGAACTCTGGAGGTGAAGTTGTTTAGCTCCCAGGAGTGGTTGCTCCTCTACAGTTCAGCTCTCTGTTAGGACTCTGCCTCTGTGAAATAACCCATTGCGAGCCGAGGGAGGTTCAGTGCCTTGATTTGCATCAGAGCTTATCTACCTGTCCATAAAATTTCTGTGCTCTTGCACAGAAATGAGGTTCCAATGATCTGTGGTGACAAACATAACATCACAGTGCTTACATAGGTCTTCCTTTCTGTAGTCGGTTGGTTGGAATGCATTCAGTGGTTAGGTTGCAAGTTGCACTGCTGCTTATTAATAATATTAGTTCTTCGTGATGATAATTTCTGGAAAGGGATTTAACTTGATTTAATTTTTAGTCCAAAGGCTTTGTCCCACAAATTGTGTTTGGATCTTAGTTTAGTTAGAACACTTGGGATGATGCTTGAGGGAATTAATCACTCGTCACTGCCTTTTTTGCAGTTAGAAAAATCTAATTTAATTCTTAATATTGTGGGGGTTTTACCATTTAGCAGCACAACAGCATCCAAAAAATTGCTTCTATTTTTATTCATAGTGGAGCAAACATGCATTTGCTTTTCCAGCTGTGACATGAAAGCGTTTGGGTTTTGAATCAGAAGATGTGAAATAAGTGGGAGTCATGGTACAGTTCACTTTCCACTCTGAGGCACCTCTCTGGATTTCATCTCGATCTCCCTGGAGACTCCAGTTATCATCAAATCATAAGCTAGCCTAGGGCCTTCCTCCGTTATTTCTGCACAAACAGAATGGAATGTCAGCTTCATGGCCAAACAAGATGCATCATGACTGTAGTCCAGTGCTTAGAATGCTTATTTACATTCAGTGAAGCTTAGCTTAGAGAAATGTGGAAAACACTGTAACTCTGGTCCCAGAAGATGTGTTGAACTCTAATGTGAAGATCAGAATAATGTGACTGTTTTGCAGAGGCAGCTGGGAATAACACAAGGGTAGAATTATACTCCTGTATTTTAAACTAAAGTCCTCTGTCCCGTAGTAAAG